CGTGTGCGCGGAGGAAAGACCCTGTGAAGGCACAGTGAGAAGGCGGCTATCTGCAAGCCAAGGAGAGGCCTCAGAAGAAATCAAAACTGCCCGCACCTTGCACTTGGAGTTCTGGCCCCTAGAATTGTGGGAAAATAGATTTCTGTGGTTGAGGCAGCCTCATCTGCAGTATTTTGTTACGGCAACCCAAGCAAACTAATACAGTCTCCGATTACGAATAATAGCCTTAATATATAAAGAGTTCCTAGAAATCAATAAGAAAAAGACCAACAAGCTAATGTTAAAAATGTTCAAAGAATACGGCAGGTATTCACAAGAGAAAGAAATACAAATGGCTCACAAACCTATGAAAAGGTGCTCAACCTCATTCGTGATGAATTAAAACTGCAGCGAGATGCCATCCCTCTCTTATCAGGTGGACCCGATTTCCAAAGATCTGCTAACACCCCTTTGGCAAGACTGTGGGGGGCGGGGGGAGGATAAGGAGGGACTGTCCCACGTGGCCGGCAGGAGTCAAAACGTGCAAGCCTGTAGATGGCGACTAGGCAGTATTGAACGGAAAGAATGAAGGAAAGAAAAGGAAGAAAGGAAGGGAGGGAAGGAAGGAAGGAAAGAAAAAGAAGGGAAAAACTTGGGTCCTGGAGTCAGTCAAATCTGGGTTCAATCCCAGCCCTGCCGCGGTTTAACCTTGGGCGGTTGCTGACCCTGTCTATGCCTCTGTTCCCCATCTATAAAGGAACGGTGGCAGTATGTTCCACACAGATGGGGCTGGTATGGTTCCATCATTGTCACTGTCACGGTCCTTCTGTGTGCCATCACTGGGTATTCGTACCGGGGGGCTCCTCGCTTCTTTTCACCTTCTTGGCTTGTTTTTCAGCAGAGTGATTCCCCAAATCAGTAACTACGCTGAACTGATAAAAATAACAGCGATCACTGTGCTTCCCTCTCCATATAAGTGGACTTTCAGGAATCAGAAAACTTTTCTCCTGAGATCCTCAGCCCCGATTTGGGGTCCGGAAGTTATGATCTCCACGCTTAACCCCAGGAAGCGCCCCCGGCCTCGCCTCGGGTGATGACGTCAATTAAGACCTTGGTGAACACTTTGATTCCTTCCCCCTCTCCGCGCTCCCCCCCTCCCAAAGGGGCAGTGGCTGGTGAGGACACAGTTCCCCACAGCAAAGCTGGCTGCACAGGCGGTTTTGGAGGGGAACTAAAGCCGTGCCGGCCCTCAACACAGACGCAAAGTGGATGGAAGGCAGGGGGGCTGGTCTCAGGAGCCTTGCCTCCCGCTGGGGCAACTCAGGCCAGTGTGCATGACCTGTGCAGGCTTGTCCAGAGCGAGGGTTCACATAAAAGGATCTCCTCTCCAGTGCCAAGGAGATGATGCTCTAACAGAGACCCATCTACCCTCCCACACACCCAGCTACACCACCCCCCACCCCCACCCCCCGGATCCTCGTCCTCACGCATCCCCTTGGTAACTCATCCCCCATCATCCACCGGCCCAGGTGCCAGACCTCCCCGCCCCCCGGGGCCATCAACACCAGCAACACGCTAACAGCCACGATTTTCGGAGCATTTACCGCCCACCTGGCACTTTTCTTTCCTTTCCTCCTTTATTTATTTATTGTTTTGCAACAACCCTACAAGGTTCGTCGTACTATCCTTGTTTCACAGTTTGGGAAGCAGGCTTGGAGACCTAGAGCGGTCTTGTCCAAGGTCAGCAGGTAGTCACCAGCAAGCTCAGAGCTCAGGCGGCACCCGGCCTCTGCTGCGATGCCGTCCGGCCCCCTGGAGACGGACCTCTTCAGCTCAGAAGTCACCCCAGAGTGACAGCCTCCCCACGTCCACTTCGTGCACACCCACTTTCCAGTTACCACGCCGACAGGCCCCTCCCCCAGCGGGACACCATCAGAGGTCCTCTCGAGCCCTCACCTTCACTGCCTTGGCCACCCCAAGTCCAAAGCCTGCTCCATAGCCCTCCCGCCTCCTGGATCCCACTTTGTGCCGTCATTCCTGGGGCGTGCCCCCCCTTCCATCAGCCTCGTCTATAGGGTCGTACCCTTAGATCGCTAAAGCCTCTGTAATACAGGGAAGGGAACACACATGTACCGAGTGCGTCACCGAGTACTATGCTAGGTCCTTATTATATATTAGTAAATCCTATAAGACGGGTCTGATGACTCTCCTTCTACAGCTGAGAAAATCGAGGTTCAGAGAGGTTAAGTGACATACCCAAGGCCACACAGCACTCAGACGGGAGGCTGGGATTGAACCCCACGCCTGCTTCATCTGCTTGGCCCTGAAGTCTCTGTGCCTTTGGCCGCATTGCTTCGCCTCTGGCCGCGAGTGTTTAATGAATCTTTGGCCGCTTTGCACAAGGACAGAGCCCGTTCCCACCCCCGCATTAGATGGCTGTAGTGCGGGTTGGGAGCACATCTGTCCGGCATCTGCTTTCCTTTCAAACAAATGCTTTCTTTTAACGCCCGTTTCATGGCTTTTCTACCCGTTAAAAACCCTGGCAGGCCTCTCAGCCAGGGGACTCCTGAGGGGCTCAGCCTCGTTTGTTCTCCTGTCACCGGCAGGGCATCTGGAACAAGTGTTTGCAACGCGAGCAGCTGCCTTGGCTTCTGCCTGATAAGCCCCAGGAAGGCGGGCTGCGAGGAAGGTGAATATGGCTCTTGGGGACCCGGGTAGGACCACGGAGCAGGCGCCCGCAGGCGCAGAGGAGAGAGCACTGTGCTGGGGTCGGCGGGCCCGGGCCGGCACCCCAGCTCCAGATTCATCACTGCACCACCTCAGACACGCTGCCTCAGTTTCCTTATCTACCGATTACCGCCTGCTGCCCACGGACGGCGTTCAGTGCATGTTGGCTGTCCCTCCCTCCTGACGCTTCGGAGGGCCCCGGGGACTGGGGGTGGGAAACGGAGGGCAGAGGTGGTGGGAGCAGAGCCAGAACCCGAGGCTCTGCGCCCACCATCATTTCCTGGTGTCCAGCTGGGTGGAGGGGGCGCAGGAGGGCACGGCCACCTCCCAGCCAGCCAGCACAGTCGGCTGTCAGGAACGGCCACCTGAGCCCGGTAAACCTCACACCTGGCACTTTGCAGTTTAGGAGACTGCATGGTGACTGCTTTTGCGGTCTTCGCGAGGGTTCCGTGCGAGTGTCTAGGAGGGGACTCTGATCCTGGATAGAACGAGGGAGCCGGAGTTCGCAACGGGAAAGCGACTCGCTTTGTTCCCTCTAAGCCACAGGAGCTCACCGAACATCAGGCACTTCCTGGGCAGTTAGTTCCTTATTTAAGCGTCCCCAGACCCCGTGAGTATGTGCCACGGGACTCCCATCTCATCAACAGACACATTATGACGTGGGGAGGGAAACAGGCAAGGTCACCGGGCTAGCACGTGACACAGCCAGGTAGGTGTGCCCTGAGTTGAACACCTGTGCTTCTCCCCAGGAAGCTGCACCCAGGAGAGCAAGCCCAGACTCCTAGGAATTAAGTAAGCATTCTCTGTCTCTCTGTCTCTGTCTGTCTGTCTGTGTCTCTCTCTCTCTCTCTGTTGTGCAAGATCTAATCACGCTAACACCTCTCATTTATTGATCACCTACTATGTCCTGAGGATCGGAAATGCTTCACGTCATTTATTCTTTCAACACAACCCGCAAAGTAGGTTTAGCCCATTTTACAGATTAGCCTGTTGAGGCTCAGAAAGACTACAGAGCTGGCTAGGTCTCAAAGCCGGTTTCAAATGCCAGCGTCTCCTTCCAAGGAGACTATTCCTTGTCTTACAAAGGACCTAGTCTCCAGTTCTCCTTGTTGACAACACTTCTGAAGCCAGTTCAGCAGAATTCCCGGTGAGAAGAGATTCCTTCTCCCCGCTGAGCCCTGCCCTTCTCAATTCTCACTCACGCTCCGCCCAGCCTAGAGGATCCGTAAGTGCTTCCGAATTTGTCACCTGGAGACTTGGGACCATGTCAGGAGTCAGATGCTCAAAGCGGAGGGAGGTGAGAGACGAGGCAGAGGGAGCCCACGGAGATGCCACAGCACAGTATTTCATCCGCTCCCTGTTTAGAGTCCTGCATGGCTCCCTAGTGCCTGCCCTCTCCAGATTCCCAAGGGTACCCTGCCTTGGGACACCCTCAGCAGACAGGTCCAGCCTGAACCGGGCCCAATTTGCTGCTCGTTCTTGGGTCCCAGAGCCACACTGGACACGGGGCCACAGGGGGAGCAAACAGAGCAGCCTGTACTCCACGGAGCTCACACCTGGATGGTGGATGCAAAATGGGCAGTGACAGCACCACGTGACAGACACTACGACGTACGTGGCAGGGGGCAGAGAGGCCATCAGACCCAAGAGTTCTCCAGTAACCCAGGGCAGGGACCCTCAACCAGGTCCCAGCACCCCCCGAACTCGGGCAGCGCCCATGTCCCAACGCGCCCCACACCCCACACTTCCCTCTCCTCCAGGTTCCACCCGGGCTGTCCCCTCTCCATCTCTTGATGGTTCAGGATCTCCACCCTTCCGAAAAACCTCTTCTAACCGCACCACCTTGCAGGCTTCCCACTGCCCCTCATCCATACTCTTCGGCACTTGGCCAAGGCTCAGAGAGGGGAGAAGTGAACAGTGGGGATCGAGGCTTGAGCCCCAGGGCCCTGCAAAAGGCAGAAGGGGCGTGGAGGGGGGTGGGGGAGAGAGGACAAGCCTCCAGTAGAATTCCAAAGGCAGAGACAGAGGGATGGCCGGCATGACCCCTGCACAAGGACAAGGCAGGAAGGCTCCCAGAGGCGCTGCCCTGGGATGGGTTGGCAGACACCTGGGCCCGGGTGGGTGGGCAGCCGGGGCTCAGACATCCCATCAGAAGGATATTAACAAGCCGTCCATCCAATTAGGAGCCAGTAATTAAAATTCATCTTCCTTCCTACTGCACAGTATTAAACCACAAACACTTCATTATATGCCTCTTACCTCGCCGATCTGCATAAATGGGAAGAAACACTTACCAGCGGCAACGCTAATTAATGCCCGGGGTGAGCTGTGGCTTAGCGGCCCGTTGGCAGCTTCTGCTTGGGCCGAGGGCGAGTCACGGGCAGAGGGTCCTCGGGCTGGGGTGAGGTGGGGGACAGGGCACAGGCGGAGACACTGAGGGACTTCCGACATACCCCTGCCTTCAGGGAGCTCTCAGTCGGATGCAGGAGGCACCCAGCTTACCCTTAGGAAGATCTCGGTCTGCTGAGAAAGCAATGACCCCACCCTAGGATATGCCCCGTCCGGCGGAGAAGACAGGGTCCTGCCTTTGGAGAGTCCCAGGCTGACTGGAGAGGCACAGCCTCTGCCCTCAGGAAACGTCTAATCTAATGGCACAGACGGAGTTCCCGCTGCGAGCAAATGCCTGTTCTATGGAAGAGACCCAGCTCTTTCCCCAGGGAGCCTAGGTCGGCTGGGGGAAACATCCCTACCCTGGAAGATCCATCCATCCAAGAGGCAACCTGAGCAAGTGGGAAAATCACGGGGTGTGGAGGCCGACAAAGCGAACACGTGACCCTGGGAAAGTTACTTAACTTCTTTCAATCGCAATGTACTCATCTGCAAAATAGGCACTTAGCATCCCATTCTCAGCTGCGCCCCCCGGGGGAGGAAGAGGAAGAAGGGCCCGACTGGCAGGCAGCGTCCCTGAAGGTGAGCCTCAGTGTTGAGTACCAGGCCTGCCGAGAGGCAGGAAGCCGGGGCGCACACACGCCCAGGAGACGACGGGAGACCACGGAGGGGGGTGAGTCCCCCTGCCCGCGGAGTGCCCGGCTTGGGGGCTGCCCAGCAAGGCCCTGGCGCCCTGGAAGGACAGCGAGAGCTCACCGCCCGAGCTCACTGTGCAGAGGACTCACCGCGACCAGGTTCCTGCTCAGCCCAGGCCAGGAGACAGCCAGCCAGGCAGTGCCGGAGCTCCCGAGACCAGGCTAGAACCTTCCACACCCCAGAAAGGCCTTGAGGGGCAGAGAAGGCTGGAGGGCTGGGGAGTTCCGGGCTAGGAAGGCACAGCCGGAAAGCCAGGAAGGTCTTTTTGAATCTGAATGTTGTTCTGGGCACACCCCCTCCAAGGCCTCAGCCCCGCCCACCCAGCCCCTCCTAGCCCCACACCCGCTGTCCCTCACACCAATGACTGTGGCCTCCTGGCCATGCTGTGCTTCCCCTTGGAGATGAGAACCCTGCAGCTGGCTAGTCGGGGAGGCCAGAGCTGCTTGAGGTCTGCCTTCAACCTCCCTTTTTGACACCTCGTTTCTGAGCTTGCACATTACGTTAGGGAGAAGGACCCAGGATGCAGCAGACCTCCCTCAGCATCTTCATTACAGGGGGTCCTGGGGCGGGGGCGGGGGTGGCCTTGCTCTTGTCTTCCCCCAAGAAACAGCACTCAGGCTTGGAGCCTGGTGGGCCTGGATTTAAATCCCAGCTCCGCCCCCCCACCATGGGCTGTGCATCCTTACGCAAGTTACTCACACTCTCTGAAAGTGTTTCCTCCTGGGCAGAGAGGAGGGGACGGGATGCAGAAAGCAGGAAGCGGGGTCAGGTGCGAACAGCGCTTAGCCAGCAGTGAGCGTTCAGCCCACCCGGTCTTCTTGCCAACCCGGCTGCAGCCTCTTAAAGGTCGGTGAGAAAGAAATCACCTTTTCTCCCCACCCAGGCAGAATGGTCCCTGGCGGTGCACGGAGCCCGGCCCCTCCCGCCGGGGTGGCAGCCGGCCTGCCCACTTACCCGGATTAGTTCCCAGCTGGGTAACTATTTACACAGGCTGCCAGGCCAGTGGTACATCGTAATTATATATTATATGTATTAATACTTCACCTTTCACCAGCACGGCATCTGGGCCCGTCAAAACATGAACCAACATTAATCAATTAAGCTTCCAGCCTCCCCGACCGACTGTGGTTATTAGCTTCTCTTTCCTCCAGGAGGGGGCTGGGAGCAGGGCTCACCCAAGGTTACGGCCCAGCCCTGGCTTGCCCCGCTCCGGCCCGCCCCCCCCCCCCCCCCCCCCCCCCCCGCCACACTCCAGGCTGCACCCCGGGCTGCTCATCGGCCCCCTGGCCGGTCAGTCTTTCCTGATTTCAGGGTTGCTAGGATGACCCGTGTGTCCCTATCCCTTGCTTTTTGGGGTGGAGCTAAGTCCCTCCGTGAGGGACCCCAGCTCTTCGAAGAGCCTGGATCCTACAGGCCCTGTGCCCTTCCCCCTTTGGGGGCCCAGCAGAATCGCCCTTGAAGTGGTGGGGTGGGGGCGAGCTGGCCCGGGGCGGGTCTGCTTTCTCCCTCTTTGCTACAGTTACTGCCGCATGAATCCTGAAGTGCCAAGCTCATGGCACACGGACGCCAGACTCTTGTTGCCATGGCAACCGTACAGAGCAGGTAGGTCCTGTTATCCCCATTTTGGAGATGCGGGAGCAGAGGCCTCGAGGGGCTAACGGTCCACCCGAGGTCACAGGACCCCAACGTGGCAGAGCCGGGACTGAAACTCTGATCACTCCTGGGGCGGCTCCCATGCGCGAGTGAGGGTCTCTCCGGGCCGAACCCTGTGCTGGGTGCTGGGGTAAGGGGTCAGCTCCGTCCTCCAGGGGTCCCGCTGTCGTGAGGAGGCAGACGACAAAGATAAGGGATGAAATCCAGGCACAGGCAACGTGGGAGCAGAGGGAAGGGAGGAGGGAGTCAGAGCAACGGCTTCTGGGCTAGAACTTGAAGGATGTGGTTAAGGTGGGGTGCGTTCCAGGCAGGAGCACTTGAGCTCAGCCCCTTAGGCCCAAAGAAAATGCCTCTCCCCTCCCCGGTGCTCACTTCTCTTCCTCTTCTCCCATCCCCTTTCCTCTCTTCTTTTCTGTCCTCTCCCTTCCTTAGGGGAGGGACTCCTGGAGACTCCGGAGACCGGTTGGAATCTGCAAAGGTCCTGGAGGGCTGCCTGGAGGAAGGGTAAATCTAGCAGCAAAGGTCCTGGAGGGCTGCCTGGAGGAAGGGTAAATCTAGCGGCAAAGGTCCTGGAGGGCTGCCTGGAGGAAAGGTAAATCTAGCGGCAAAGGTCCTGGAGGGCTGCCTGGAGGAAGAGTAAATCTAGCAGTCCTGATCTCTTGGCTCTAACAGCCTCAGCTCGGACCTACAGGGGGCATCTGCCCGACCCCTGCCCACCACCAGCCCCTCACAGCTGGCCCTCCCTGGGGACAAAGTCCCTCTCTCAGCTCTCCCTAGAAGGGAGGCATTCTCAGCACCAGGTGCATCATGGTCAGAAATGCATGTACGTTCTCTCAGGGCAGGACCCAGCACAGAGTCAGGGAGGTGACAGGGCTGACCCTAGCCTCCCCCGTCCAGGTATTAACGTCCGAGAAGAGAAGCCCGTGTGGCCGCTAGCTTCTCTCTTCTGCTTTCCTCCATCCCTGAGCAGAATCTGAGGAAGCTGCGGGTGTGGGGGCTTTGAATGGGAAGGTATTTGCGGGAGAGGGAGGTTTGAGCAAAGACATAAAGTGGAAGTTGGGGCTGGCAGGCCTTGAGGGCAACGGTGTGCTCGGGGTAAGGGAGAAAAGCACAAGGTCGGATGCCATCAAAGTCCGTCGGAAGGAGAGCCCAGGCCGGGAGGCAAAAGCAGATGGTTATCAGGCAGGAGATATGACCGAGAGAATCAGGCCAGGGGAGAGGCATTAGGGAGTGGTGGGGACTGGGGCGAAACGGGGAATGTGTGCTCAGAGGGTGGGAACAGTGACCTGAAAGCCGTCGGACCTAGGAACCGACGGGCACTACAGTTCATTCACCACACGGCGGTGGAAGGGCCTCCTCTTCTCTGGGCCTCAGTATCCCCATCTGTTAGATGAACACACAGGCCTGATGCTATGTGAGGGCTGCTGACCTGTCAGTAGCCAATGAAACGGGATAAACGCTGGCTCCCTGGGTAAATGGGGGGTTACACAGACACCGCGTGGGGTGGCAGAAACCGGACCTCGCGCCCTAGCCCCCCCTCTGCCAGCCGCCATCCCCTGGTCACCCCTAGCTGCACCACCCTAGAAGCCTGCTTCACCTCCCTGACCCTCATCTGCGAAAAGAGGACCGGACACGAGGCACTGAGGATTAGAGAAGGCAGCGTGCACGCGGTACCTGACTCGGAGGCAACACTGCCCCATCCATCCCTCCCCGTGGACCTTGTGCACGATGGTGGCCATTTCCCTGGTAGCCGTGCCCCGTTCCTTCCTCCCCGAAGCGAGCCCGGCCACCAGGGCCTGGCGGAGCGAGGGCAGTGTGTCCAGCCCCAGGCTGGGGACTTTGATTTGCGGGGACCGGGCCACGGAGGCCGGAGCTGCCTGGAGTCCACCCCATCCCTCCGGCTGGGCCTCTCCTGCCGAGGGAAGGCGGGAAGGCGTGCTGTCGGCAGGCGGTCGTGGACGGACAGCTCGAGGGAACGAAACCATCGATAACCGTGACGCGGTCTGTTTCAAAGCCAAAGCAGCACCCGGGGACGGTCCCCACCATTCTCCCGGCCTCCTCACCACTGGCCGCCTCTCCAAGCCAGCACGGCACGATGGGAGCAAACTTCACCATGCCCCTCTCCCTCCAGGGCCACACGGCCCTACTACTGCCACTTCTGGAGGAGGGGGTCCTTATGCCCCCCGGGGGCTCTCACCCAGGACCCCCAGACCCAGCGCTGTCACGTTGCTGGAGATAACATTGCAGCTATCGGGGCACGTCTGCCCCGTGCTACCTCGAAGCTATGGGACGGAGCCGTGCTGGGTTCTTGCGTTGAGTGATCTCTTTAATCCTCACCTTAGCCCCGCAAGACACACATCCTGGGGTGGCTGGGCCCATTGCGGTTTGGGTCTGTGCAGGTGCACACAGCCGCTAACTGGCCGAGCGACACTGCAGCGGACCCCATTAAAGGCTCCCGCACGGGGGTCTTGGGAGCTGTCCTTGGTGGGTTCTGAGGGGATGCTTAACGAGCAGAACAACACCTCCGTGTCCCCTGCGTGGCCCAAAGCCAAAACACACGATGATGGAAGCCAAGTCTGAAATCTACGCCAGAGAAACACCGGCGACGACTCGCGACACTTTGCTGGGTCCCAACCAGCCTGCCGGGCTCATTTGAGCAAGATGGCCTTCAGACATCACCTCCAGCCTGCAAAGCTACAGATGCTCGGCCTCACTCTCCAAACGTGGAGACTGAGGTCCAGGGAGGCCAAGCAACTCACTCAGGCTCACACAGCATCTAAAAGGCCAAACTGGACTGTGAGCTCCAGACCGTTTCGAATGGCATCCGTGGCATATGCTTTTTAGACACCCTCTGCTCAAACATCACCTCCCCAGCGGAGCTGTTGCGACCCCGCCCGGAGCCCCTGAATTTTACCCACCCCCACCCCCCCCACCCCCCCACCGATGCAAAGTCTGTTTGCTCCAGTAGAGTTCAGCTCTGGGAGGGCCAGGGACACTGTGGGCGAATGCAGAGCCGGTCCTCAAACCAAATCTGTGGGATGATCGAGTAAATCCATTCATTCATTCATTCATTCGACAAGCACGTGATGAGCACCTATTATGTGCCGGGCCCAGGCCCAGGCACTGAGGATAGAAGCATACACAAAAAAATCCTTGCCCTCCCTGACCCTACACCCTAGGGGGAAAGACAGATAATATAACAGCGAACAGGTACGTGGGTGGGAAACGTCACGTAGAGACAAGGTGAGAAAGAACAATAAAGCAGGTCAAGGAGACAGGAGTGATGAGCAGGGTGACCACACATCCCGGGGTAGCTGGGCCGACTGTGGTTTAAGACCTGTGTCCGGCGGATAACCATTAGTGACCCCTTTCACCTTAACACTGTCCCGTCTGGATGGCAAATTTCTACGGCCACCCTTGTGATAGGAAACACTATCAGGCTATCTTTGATTAGGTCGTGGGGCAGAAACGGCTCGTGTCCACCAGGATCCAGACAGAAGTGTTTCCCAGCCGCCCTGCAGTTAAGGAGAGCGGGTGACTGGGTTATGGTCAACGGAAAGAAGTCCTGAGCATCGTGTGTCACTTCCAGGTCCTTTCTGTAGGAAAGACCTTCCAGGTCTTTCTCCTGAGTCTGCAGCCGGCTGAATGCAAAGCATCTGGTGGGGAGCCCCAGGAGGCCTGGGGTGACGGGGCGGGCGGGGGGAGACAGAGACACAAAACAGAAGAGCCTGGGATCCCTGAACCACTGTTCAGAGGTGAGTCATTCAGGGGAGCCTCTGAGTAAACCTCTGAGTAGGTATAAATGCTCTTGACTTTGCCTGAGCAAGAAATACACTTCCTGAGTTAGGTCACTGGAGTTTGGAAGTTTTTTATTACAGCAGTTGGCATTAATTACCCTGACAATTATAAGCCGTCAGTGAAGGCCTCTCAGAGGACAGAACACGGGAACAGAGATCTCAGGGAAGTGAGGGACTGCATAGCACGCGCAAAGGCCCTGGGGACTCAGAAGCCCCAGTGACGCACAGTGCTGAGTCTCATCCTTCACCGTCTGGCCACATTGCTTGGATTATACACCCTGCCCACAAATTTGTCTTCACCGGCATGAACCGGGACAGGCACCGCCCCTGCTTTGTCCCCTGCAGGTTCAAGGCGGAGGGGCTGATGTGGTAGCAGCTGCGAGGGGGCTTTGAGGGCAGGCCGCTCTTGCCTCAGCCAGCAGACCAGACGCTCTCCATTTTGAATGGCCCAGAATGTACTGGCATCGTGACTCCACGTGTTCAGACCATGTGGAGGTGACACCTGTCCCAGGAAGATGTTGCTGGCCCTGATAGGATGAACTAGATCACCCGGCCGACTCTGAACTCAGGGATGTCAGCCCCCTGGGAAGTGCTTAGACATCAACTGTGACCCTTCTGGAATCCAGGGAGAAGGGAAGGCCCAAATGGTTGTGCACCGCCTGGTCCTGAACTAGGTACTTGTGCACCTGTCCCCACCCAGCCTCCCACACAAGTCTGCAAGGAGGCCGGCATTCCTGTCCCCACACTGCCTCCAACGCCCGGAGCTAAAACGGAATCCTGGGACAATTATCTCCAGCGCTGGGCACAGTGGCTGGTGCCCAGCAGACACCCAGCTTTAAGCCACCTTAAGTATCTCGAGATTTCCCCCCACGCCCCGGTGCCGGGTGTTATAGATGCACTACCTCTAATCTTCCCAATCTCCCATACGGCAGCCATTATCCTCCTTTTCCAGATGAAGAAACTGAGGCTCAGAGAGGCCCACGTTCACACTGAGTGGCAGCGGGGGGACTCTACCCCCAGATCAACCTGGGTCCACAGCCTACATTCTTGCCACTGAGTAACGGACACGCGTATCGCTACGGGCATTTCCCATCTTACAGATGAGGAACGGAAGGGGAGCATGACTTACCCAAGGTCACGCAGCCAGAAAATGATGGAGCCAGGATGGGGAGATGGGAAAATGAGGCCAGGTTCTCGGCAGAACCCTCACAAAGACGCCCAAGAGCTCCATGACCCGCCCACATCATTAGGGCAAGCTGCGGGGGCCGGCCTGCCACCGAGAGCCCACGGTGAGTGGACTCAGCTATTTAGCTGAGTGACGCTGGGGAGGCAGGTCCGTCCCTGGGCACCCAGCCAAGGCGGGGGAGGCAGGATATATCGCCCCTTATTACTAGCAACATTAGCTCCCTGATTCGCGGGCACTCACGGTATTGACGCTAATGATTAGCACAGCAATGAGCCTGAGCCTCCGGACCGTGCCGGAATGCCCACCCCCTCCCTCTGTGCGTGTCAGCCTTGCCTGGCAAGGCCCGCTCGAGTCTGTCCCTCGCCCTGAGGCCTTAGGGACCGTCCCACACCCCGTGGTCTCCCCTGAACCCCAAGTGCTCCCCACTATGTCCACACACCTCCCCGACAGGCTCACCGGTCCTCAGTACCGACTGGCACAGGGGCTGTGCCATAGGCCGGGCACACGGGTGCGGGCGCCCGTGGGTGGTACACAGCTGGCCGGGCTGCTGGCTCAGGTGAGGCGGGGTGCAGGGGTGCTTCAGGGAGCACACAGACCCCTGAATCCTCTCCATGCGCACGGCCCGTCATGGGTCCCCGGGATGCTGAGCGTGTGTCTTATTGCAGTAAGAGCTCATGGGCACGTAGTTCACACATTGGGTTTACGCGCTGGCTTTTTTTAATGGGCAAAAAACATTAACTCGTTTGCACAGGGGCAGACGGGCCACTCTGTACTTGAATAGAAACCACCTCACTCACTCAAGGATAAAACGTTCATTCTTCAAATGATACAGGCTTGTTTTTCTCTACTTCTTCGTGTATTTCCCTATTCCTCCTAAGCAATGAAATAAGCTGGAATATGAGATTTCTTGCTCACTGTGGCCTGCACAGCTTCACCCGACCAACCACCGCTGTGTACCTTCTCCGTGCCAGAACTTGTGACAAGCACCGGGGACGCAGGGCGGGGAACAGGGATCGGGAATCCTGCCCTGATGCGGCTTATACTCAGGTGTGGTCACAGCCAGGATTCTAGAGCTAGACTGCCTTCGAATCCCACTTTGAGCACTAACTAGCTGTGTGGCCTTGGGCAAGTTACTTAACCTCTCTGGGCTCCAGCGTCCTCATCTGTAAAATGGATATACTAATAGTGCCTCTCTCACAGAGCTGTTGTGAATTTAAAACGAGTCAGGTGTATAAATGCCTAGAACAGTCCTGGTACGTAGGAGGGAGAACATTTTCAATAATAATAACAAACTCTCCGGGGAATCAGATGATCAACAACAGACAAATAACCAAGCAAAACACTAATGATAGCAAAAAGCGCCCTAAAGGATGGCCCAGATGTGTTCATAGAGGAAGAAAGTGGGAGAGAAAGAGAGGGACAGAGGGAGAGAGAGAGAGAGAGAGAGAGAGAGAAGGCATTTTGGTGGGGTGGCCGGGGAGGACATCTCCTAGGTCTTTTTACTGAAATTGAGCCCTGCGGAAAGGGAAGGAAGCAGCCGTGGGAAGATCCTGCTACAAGTGATCCAAGCGGAGGGAAGTGCAAGTTCAGAGGCCTGCAGGCTGGACAGCTCCTAGCCCGTGGAGAAGAAAGCAGGAGGCCAGAGTGGCCTGAACAACGTCAACATACAGGAGGGGGAGACAAGGTGAGGTCAGAGAGGGCGGCCACAGCTGGAGGAGGCAGGGTAAGGAGTGGGATTTGGCTTCAAGTACAATGACGAGCCTTGAAGGGTTTTAAGCCTGGAAGCAATCTGATCTGATTTACATTTTAATAACGTCTCTCTGGACACCAGAGGAGCTGAGCGCTGGAGGGTGAGGGGGGGCAGCCACGGAGACCAGCTGGGGAGGCCGCGGCAGGTGCAGACCCATGGTGGCCTGGACCAGGGGTACC